AATGGCAAGGCTCGCCAAGAGCACGGTCGTGTGGCTAGACCGAGTAGGTTACCGTACCGTACGGAACAACCAGGCCTTCCGTCACTTGGCTGATTGATACAAAACCTCTGCACAGAGTGATAACCTACCATGTACATCTCTTTCTCTTGGACGATTTTGCGAGCATAGTCCAACCAGGAACCCCCACAATTCTGGAACTAGTCCTCAAAAAGCCTCGAAAAAGGGGTTGATCTACGCTTATACTCGACATGTTACAAGTTCAGGTGGAAGTGGGCAAGCCGACTGCGAAGTATAATTAGAAGAAAATACTGGATGATGGCAAGCGCACATGGCTACTACTGACCGTTGCTTTGTCTAAAATTGCGCTGTTCGGATTAGAGGAGGAAGGCGCGTAGCTATATCATTACTTCCTGTTTTCTGACAGGTGGTGAGACCTTTGGTACTACTGCTACTGGTGGTACGACTTTGGTGAGACCTGTAACATTTTGTGATGCTGTCCCGTACGACTTGGAGTCCATTCGCAAATTTCGCGCTCCAAAACAAGAAAACATCGCCGCTGCGGCGCGCCTAGCGGAAACTCTTCGACCTGGGTGCTGAGCTCATTTCCGGCGCCATTCTTTCGCACAGCTGCGGCTGCGTGCCATTGCGTACACTGCGGAGCTACAGTAACCTCACGCCTAGTTAAATTACTCGTTGGGGACGTAGCATCTTAATGAATTTTGGTGATTATGATTAAAGAGTGACATCTACAAGTATTTTCAGTCCTAGACTCTTCCTGTGCAGTAGCCTCATGGCGTTGAGAGGAAGCGGTATCATTATCCGAAAGGTACCTCTAATTCACATTTGCGTAATTTACATACGCATAAAGGGATCAAAGGCATCACGAAGTCAAAAAAAATTAAAGAAGCAAGTACAAAAATACTAGTATAATTCCTTCGCAAACATAACATTGTTCCCTACAGAGGTCCTCTTGAAAAAAGTCAGCAATAAAAAGGTAGTCAAGCCGTAGAGTGATGTAGTAGCCACATGAATATACATAGAGTACTCCCAACCCAAGGATTGCTCCCACAGTTTCTCCGCGTTCCAGATTGTTTGGGGAGCGTGGCAAGTCTCCGGTTTATCCAGCCGGCACTTTCGGCCTCTCGCCGTGAGCACTATAGTCAGGTAGCTCCGCTCAAATCGCTGGTCTAAAAAAATGATTTAAAAAAAAAAAAAAAAAAAAAAAAAAAAAAAAAAAAAAAAAAAAAAAAAAAAAAAAAAAAAAAAAAAAAAAAAAAAAAAAAAAAAAAAAAAAAAAAAAAAAAAAAAAAAAAAAAAAAAAAAAAAAAAAAAAAAAAAAAAAAAAAAAAAAAAAAAAAAAAAAAAAAAAAAAAAAAAAAAAAAAAAAAAAAAAAAAAAAAAAAAAAAAAAAAAAAAAAAAAAAAAAAAAAAAAAAAAAAAAAAAAAAAAAAAAAAAAAAAAAAAAAAAAAAAAAAAAAAAAAAAAAAAAAAAAAAAAAAAAAAAAAAAAAAAAAAAAAAAAAAAAAAAAAAAAAAAAAAAAAAAAAAAAAAAAAAAAAAAAAAAAAAAAAAAAAAAAAAAAAAAAAAAAAAAAAAAAAAAAAAAAAAAAAAAAAAAAAAAAAAAAAAAAAAAAAAAAAAAAAAAAAAAAAAAAAAAAAAAAAAAAAAAAAAAAAAAAAAAAAAAAAAAAAAAAAAATAAAGAACCACAGTAACTTTACAGAACATGTTCACCGTTTCCAAGAAGAGATATACCGTTTCCGTGTTGATGGTGACCCGTCCTCTCGTCTCAGGGCAGTTGTCAACCGAGAAGCCTCTCCTCTCTTTCCTTTTTTCTTCCTTCCTCCTTTTCCTTCCTTCCTTCTCTGATCCCTCCTCCTTTACCTTCTCCCTTCAACTACTGGACTGGTAGATGCCTCGTGAAAATAACCCTGGACCCTCGCAGCGAGAGCACGTCTGGTTGACAACAGCCCCGTAACCATACTATCATTTGTTGTTTTGTGAAAAGCTTTCTTATTCCAGCCCGCTCCACAAAAATAAGCAGCTGCAATCAGTCATGAACTATGGCGCATTCGCAGTATGTACACGTATCTATCACACAACCGCTATCTTTTCACATATATTAACAGAATAACACATAGATTCCGCTATCCTGGCCCTTCGTGCTTTGATTTGGTGAGGAATAGTGACGAAGAGGAAGGTATCCAAACACCTGTATCCCACTGCGCTCAAGTATAGACGCATCTTCCACGAGATCTCTCCTCGACATTGAATAAAACTAGGCGTGAGGTTACTGTAGCTTCGCAGTGTACGCAATGGCACGCAGCCGCAGCTGTGCGAAAGAATGGCGCCCTCATTTCCTAAGTGTTTTGGTTTTTTTTCTTACTTGTTAAATATTGTACATTATGCGGCGGTATACTTGTATAGTTCAGGGACTATTTCACGAGCTGTTTGTTAGCTAGGAAGCAGATTTATGGTTCTGTGTCTCTTCCTTTCCATGGCTCAGTTTTGAATTTTCAGGAATGTCTGTTCAAAAGAATTTCTATTTCGTGATAGTTGGTCACAACGATCAGCCTCTATTCGAAATGGATTTCCCTATCGCTGACAAGAAGGCACGGGAGTCAGAAAACAGGTACCAAAGTTACTGAGAAACGCTTGCATGTGCCACAAATGACGTGGCCTGAAGGTTCTGCTCTCAAATCCTTTGAAAGATGATTTCTAGGCATTTGAACCAGTTCATCGCTCATGCCGCACTTGATGTTGTTGATGAACAAGCTCTTACGAGTAACAGTATGTACCTTAAGGTATGCTTTTCCCATTTTTCACTGTTATTATCTCGGTGAATATATGAGCTGTTCTCTTTGCCATCATCCCAGTGAAGCGAGGAATTCGCTTCAGGAAGCCTAAAACATCTGAAGTAAGATTTTGTTCCAAAAATTCAGTCCACCTGCTTCGCGGTTCATTTCCCGCTTGGCTAAGGCAGAAATCCTCATAAGCATTAGCATGGTTAACATTGTTTTCCCGACCATCGAGCACTAAAGCCGTACCTGTATGGAGTAGAGCCTTCCTTTCTTACTGGTAGCTTGCTATGCAAGTCTTCTCGGCGTACTAGAAGGGTCCTTGACCGTGTC